TTTCCCTCTGAAGGAAGCCACTGGGTAAACATGGACATTCTACTAAAAGCTTTAGACTCTAGAGGACACAACATCACTGTTTTACGTCCAAGTAACAGCTGGTATTTAAAAGATGACTCATCTTATAATACCATTACAGTTCCAGTGGAGAACATCTTGATTCAGAAATTCATGACAAGAATTGTGTCCGAGGGCATACTTTTCGAACGAGGGGCCATCCCCTTGACGGATATTCTTCAAAGGAGTGTAGGGATGTTCAGCACAATTCTTGATGTTTACAAAGCTCTAGCTGATTTTGTATCTGCAATACTAGATGACAGCGACTTGATAAGAAAACTGAAAGACAGCAAGTTTGACCTGTTACTTGCTGACCCCTGTTCAGGTGTTGGAGTCATTCTGGCCAAATATTTGAACCTTCCATTGGTTTATAATGTTCGCTGGGTAATATTTACGGAGGCTCATTTTTCCATAGCTTCATCACCATTATCTTATATTCCTGTGACTGGAACTGGGAATACTGACAAGATGACCTTTTCTCAGAGAGTTAAAAACGTGGTTTTACACATCATAACACAAAAAATAAACAACCTGGCGGCTAAACTAGTATACCAGAAATTAACTGACAAATATCTTGGGCCTGATTATGATTTTAATGAGTTAATGATTGATGCAGACATTTGGCTGATGAGAGTGGACTTTGTGTTTGAGTACCCACGGCCCACAATGCCTAATGTTGTGTATATCGGAGGGTTCCAGTGCAAACCTGCTAAACCTCTGCCTCAGCACTTGGGGGACTTTGTGCAGAGTTCTGGGGACCATGGCTTCATCCTCATGTCTTTGGGGACTTTTATAACTGAACTTCCTTCTGACATAGCAAATGAGATCGCTGCAGCTTTTGCTAAACTGCCACAGAAAGTCATCTGGAAGTATAAAGGTGACAGACCAGCCACTCTGGGCAATAACACTTTACTGGTGGACTGGATGCCACAGAATGACCTTTTGGGACATCCAAAAATAAAACTGTTTGTGGCACATGGAGGAACAAATGGAGTCCAAGAAGCTATTTATCATGGAGTCCCAGTTGTAGGAATATCCTTTTATTTTGATCAGTATGATAACTTGCTACGTCTGAAAGACAGAGGAGGAGCTAAGATACTTACATTAACTACAGTGGACAAAGACAACAACTTCCTGAAGGCCATAGAGGAAGTCCTGAATGATCCCTCATACAGGACGAACATGCAGAGACTTTCCAGGCTACACAGAGATAAGCCAGTAAAGCCACTGGATAACGCCCTCTTCTGGATAGAGTTTGTCATGAGGCACAAAGGAGCAGCTCACCTGAAAGCACAGTCCTACAGAATGACCTGGTATTCCTACCACTCTGTAGATGTAGTTTTGTTCCTGGCTGGAGCTATGCTGCTTGTGCTTTTAACCACTTTCTACCTTATTAGGTGTATATACACTGGGATGTGTAAACGTAAAGTGAAACGTGAGTGATGGAGGATTTTAGTAATGCAGCACTTTGACAAAAACCCCATTGTATTTCTATTGTATTTTATTGAGATTTTATTCAGAATTATATTTTCTTAAAATATTTCTGAATGCATATTGTGATTTCATAATAATGAGCACAAATAAAACACTTAAAATGACTTTCCAACCACAAGATTGACTTTTTTGGTAACTGAATGGAAGCCAGTGCCCTCAGCTTTGCATGTGCCTGCAGTCAACAACACTCTGCTGACTAAGTAACTGCAGGCTTCCAAACCTCCTCTGACATTAGTATGAGCACAAAACTGTAAGCTGGAATGGGTTTCATGGCTGAGAAGCTCATGTAAATATAATATGTAAGCAGCCTGGTATTTTTTTTAATATAATATATAAAACAAAAGGTGGAGCTGAGAAGAAGGTGGGGTGTAAAGTGAATTCCACATATGCCAGCAACTCTAGGCTGAGTAAAGCAGTTTAAATAGTGTGAAGTGTGTACTCTGCATGAGATTTCACAATGAGATAAACAGAAGGATATTTCCTGGGTCATCAGCTACCATGTAATGGACTTGATATCAGCTATTTTCATCTTACCCAGTGACAGGTGTGATTCTAGGTTCAAGCTTTTAGGGGGGCTCAGCTCACAATCATAATGTCATACATGCCTTGTAATTGATATTAAGGGAATATGCTGATTGAAAATTGAAAAGTCACATTTAAAATTGGATACACATTACAATGTTACCTTCCAAAGCAACCTAATTAGTTCGATGGCCTATTGTAGTTTCTAAGAATAATTCTGAGTGAATAATCAGAGATTCCAATC